GGGCGCCCTTCGGCTGCCGGTGGGGGCTGCGGCCGGGCGAGCGGCCGGTGCGGGCAGGGCCGTAGGAGCGGTTAGCGCGTCTTTCACGGCGTGGCGGCGTCCCTGCTGCCGACGCGAGGCCCGAGAGGTGTTAACGGTGCGGGCGTTAAACCCCTGTCCCGCCCTCAGTGCCCGCGCCGCGTTCGCTGCTGTCGCTGCTGTCAGGTGAGGGAGCTCTGCCCAGTGCCTCGACCTTTGGGCCTTCCTTCGGGCCTTCTGAGCTTTAAAATTGGGGTCTGGCCTCGGTCCCCTACGCCTTTCGGGGATGGGAATGGCCGACGTGCGCCGTCCCCGCTGCTGAGGCAAGCCGTTAATTCTTGGGCGCATAGGTGCCCCCCACCATCTCCCCGAGTCTCCTGAGACGCACGCCTCTGGTATGTACGCGTTTGGTGTGTTTTCAGTCAGAAACAGAAAAAACACACGGCGCAGGAATCTCACTTGGGCCGAGAAGTGTTTGTTTCGGGAGGCAGAGAGGAAATGCATCCAAGCGCTAGTTCGGAAGAGGAATGGTTCTTTATGTGCTTGTTTTGCCAAGTCTCTCCTCTATGGCATGCTGCTCTCATAGTAGAAATACAGGAGTTGCTGTAGCAACAGTGCATTTTCTTAAGAAAACGGTACATTTTTAACGTGTAAATGCTGCTTTCTGTCAGTCATGGTTGCATGATTGTCTGGGGCCTTTAAGGGGAGCTAGTGGAGAAGGGCGTGAATACGGAAATGTGGCAAACTGTTCTCCTAGTTGAAGTAACCTTAATGCTAGGCTTAAGTTCGTTGATGGCATTTTAAAATTCCTGTTTATTTTGATATATGGAGAAGACATTAATAAAAAATAACCAACTATTTTAGTAGTCTCACAGTTTGCAGTTACTTAATGAAATGTATAAGTGAATTATGCGGCCGTTTTCTTTGCTCATTTTAAGAATAACCTGTCATTTAGGCCTGAGTGTAGTTGCTTCCCGCTCCACTGGGAAGAATATATATATCTTAAAACATTTGAGAAGTTGCTTACACAAGCTAGCGTAACCTTTTCCGTGTAGATGTTACTGTTATATTCAGTAATAAGTACACTCTAGCCTAGATTGTTCTTTCTACATAACCGCAATTCAGTTTATTAAGTGCATGTATTAAAACCTGCAGAGGACATTTTGCCTCGGGTTGGTTCCAGGACCTCTTTGCAAACCTATGTTGGCATGACTGAGACCTGTGCTGTTGCCTATAACAATGTCTTGATTGTGTGTGAAAGATGTAGCTGTACATGTGACTTTCTCTGTATTTAAGAGGTATAGAATTCCGGGTTTCTTTTGTTATCCCATTTTAGTTGGGATCTGTGGGGCCTAGTAATTGGGCATCACATTTGGAGCCAATGTTAGACATGGCTATTGTGTTTGGTGGATTGGTAAAAGTGTTCTGCTAGTCTTGGTATGTTGGTTATTCAGACTTTTTTTGAGTTAGTAATGCTGTATTTTGCACAAGTATATTTAAGAAATTGCAGAAAGCTGTTGTGTTTGGTCAATCCATGTTTTACATGCCTAATTCTTGATTATATCACAACAGGCTACAATACTGAGTAAGTAGCAACACAGCTGAAAGATAAATGAACTGTTAGTTGATAGTCACAGACGGTCTGAATGCCCATTGCCCCTATATGTTCTGAAATTGCTAGGCATGTCAATAAATCACTTGGACCTGGCAAATTCTGGAACCACAAAAACATTTTTCTTCTGGGCAGGACAGCTATAGAGCTTTCAATTCCTTCTGAAATTTAAGCATCGCTGTTGACTTAAAAAGAAATTTGAGGAGCTGTTTTGGACAAAATACACTTAACCCACCTGAAATTGCTGTTTAA